GGGGCACAGGCTGCAGCAGCCACCGTGTGCAGCACACACGCTCCACGTTATCTCCCCCCCGGAACCTGACCGGGGGGTGCCCACAGAAGGGCACCTCCAGAGCCATCCTTCCCTGCTGCTCTTGGGAGGGTTAAGATAAGCCGGTGCAGTTTTTCCAAAGGATCCAGCAAAAATCAGGGAAGCAAGGTTTATCGTTCATTTAACCCTCAGCAGCCCACCCTGCTTCTGGCTGCACTGAAACACCCTCAATCCCAGCCCTTAGGTCTAGCTGGTCCCAGAGTGCCCAACCTGCAAAGCATCACGGTGGCAGCAGGCACTCAGCTACCCAGCGTGTGGTACAAAGGCTTCAGTAGCAACATGGCTCATTTTTCCTTTGAGTTTCACGTGTTCGAGATGGGATCAGTGGAAATGTTTTTTTCTCCCTTAAAAAGTTGGTTGTTCTGCCACTATATGCAAATGCTTTGGTTTTACCAGATGGCAATGAATGCTTTCCTTCCACGTTTTATTCTGGAGCTAAGGATCAAGGTAGAAAATTGGAAGAGTTTGCAATAAACTCAGTAGCTACTGACTGCTGTTTGCCAGGACCGGTTATACCTGTATTCATAAAGAACTTGTCCCTCAGATACCCGCTTGCTGCTCTTCCCTCCTCTCTGTGGGCGCAGGCCCCTCGCTTCCCTTAAAATTCCAATAAAGTGCCAGGTTTTGGTTCGTCGGAGGTCTGTAAAATCAGTACCCATCTAAATGGCATTAAGCAGGGGGTACAGTTAAAAAACAAAACCTAAGCTGAAGGTGTTATTCTGTTTCAGGTCTCCTTCCATCTCTCCAGGTTAAGGACTTGGGTTTTTTTCTTTTCTGAGGAAGAGGAGTGGTTACTGATGAACCCTGGAACAACTTAAACAGAAGTATGGATACACAAATCAGAGGGATTGCTCCTGTCAATTTAATTGAGTTGTTACTACTAGACTATAAAGTTAATCACTGGCGGAATAGAAATTTGATTCTTACAAAAGTTTATCAAGAGTTTGGTTGGGGTCTTTTACTTTGTGATTCACTGAGTTGCTACTGTGCAACTGAACCCCACTATCACTAAAACAGCACCAGATAAAATTAAATGAAGTATTAAAAAAAACTTATTAACTAGCAAGAATTTTCTTTTTTCCATCTCAGTATGACACAGTTTGAAGGCCTCATGAAGTTGTTTTCTTGCCCATCTAAAAAGCTTGCAAACAACAAGTGCTTTTGAACAGTGCATGGAAAATGCACGAAGGTCCTGCCCTATCCACACGCCTCTGTACATGCACTCCTTCTACTTGTTGTAGGTTATATGGAAAATTTCTGTGTTCATCTCATCTCCAGCTACAAAAAAAGTGAAAGTACTGAAGAAATTTGGCAGACAAAAAGAAAATAAAAGCACATCAGCAAAATTGGGAAGTATCAAGACCATAAATTTCATCAAGTCAGGCCAGCAACAATTTTAACCTATGGCTCTTCATTTTCTTTTTTGTTATTCTTTTTAATTATTCCCTCCTGTAAATTCCTGATGGTTGTTGTTCTTTGTTTGCACTGATTTGCATTGTGCACTGGATCCAGTTGGCCAGCAATGGCAGGGAATGTTAATTCCATTTAGTTACCGGAAAAAGCAATAAAAGCAAATATGTTTCCCTAAGGCCCCAGCCCAGAGTGATGAAAAATCCAGACCAACAGACATATTTTGTTAAAATCAGGCTTAAGTGTAATCTCTTTTCCCACAGAAAAATAAAAGTAAGAAAAGAGTATACCGGGCAAACTGAAATATAAATTATGGACCCTTCCCAGCTCTAGTAATTGCATCCCAAATATATCCCCAAGCTGGGGAAA